AAGCACATAATTAGCAATGCAGAGTACTATGGTGCCTCACTGTTTTTGTTGGCAACAGATGTTGTTACTGTCTATGTGTTTGGGGAGCCGTCCTTGCTGTCGTCTTTACAAGATAATGGACTCACTGATGTTGTGCTTCACGCACTGCTGGTGAAGGATGTGAGTTAATTGTTTTATTTACTGTTTTTAGTCATTACTGTCATCATTATATTTTTGTATTTGTTTTCTTAGTCTTGAGTCTTGTACTTTCCCTTCCTAAATTGGTAATATAAATTATGTTCAGCAGGTATTGTTTTGGATGTGCAAAAACTCTTATAGGATATTGTTCTTACATACAATCTCTCCTTCCTTTCCACAGGTTCCTGCAACGAGAGAAGTATTAGGTTCACTACCAAATGTATTCAGTGCACTCTGCCTCAACTCCAGAGGGCTTGCCGCCTTTGTTGCATGTAAACCATTTGAGAGACTCTTCAAGGTGCTGCTTTCCCCCGACTACCTGCCAGCCATGAGACGAAGACGTTCCTCAGATCCCATGGGTGACACCGCATCCAACCTTGGCAATGCCATGGACGAGCTCATGAGACACCAACCAAGTCTCAAAGCGCAGGCAATGAAAGCAATTGTAAAGGTATATATTATGTTAACAATCTTTGTAGCTCTTTCACATTCAGTTTACCTGCTTTTTAATGAACATGTATTCTTTCTTTAAGATATCATGGTCTTTAGCTGCACATTGATTTGCAAATTACATTAATTTTTGTAATCCATCAGTGACAGTATTAGAAATCTCTCAGTGCCATAGACTCTGTTGAATTCTGGTTACTGTCCTGCTGCTGTATGCAGAAGTCTGCTACATGTAGTGAAACTTCCCACTTGACGCGCTCTATCGTGTCCCATGTGTATAGCTGTACCTGGCAGATCAAGTGTGTTATGACGGCTGTATGTGTGACCCAGCAGTAATGGGTTAAGGGAAGATAGTGACACCTGTCTTTTAGTTTATTCTGTGTACAAGTATGTTTATGAGTTTTCTTGCATTTCTAGCTCTTGGAGGAGGTTTGTCTGTTAGGGAGCGACACACATTACATCTGCTGGAAGACACCACCCAAGCATGAAGCATCGCCAGCGCCTGTATCTCGGTCAGTATCACTGTAAATCATTCAAAACTACTTTCCTATATAATTTACATCGATTTAAGGGTCAGTTTAGTTTGACTTTTTTATGCAGAAGTAAACCTTAGTGAAACTGAGTTCTTTCATTGGGGAATGTCTTGAATGTCTAGTTAGCCACAGTTATGTTGGCTGTCTTACATCTTAAATTTTGTATGAAAAATTATTTTTGGGTCAGGCTTAACTGCACTATAGAAATGACAGTCTGAAATGTTGCTTGCTTTCTCAAAATCAAGTTTTTTTGTTTGTTTTAAATGTTAATTTCCATATTCTTGTTATCCTCAGAACAACCAATGATAATTCTAGTGATGAAGAGGAAGAAGAAGAGGAGGAAAGAGAAGCAGGAGTAACAGGCCCTCCTGTTTCTTCAGGGCAAAGGGAAGATGTACCACCCACAGACACCACCACAGGAGAGAAACGCCCAGTTCCATTAGTCGATTATGTCCTAAATGTGATGAAATTTGTTGATGCAATTTTAAGTAACAATTCCACCGATGACCACTGTAAAGAGTTTGTTGCACAAAAGGGCCTTGTTCCATTGCTGGGCATTTTAGGATTGCCGAACCTTCCAATAGATTTCCCAGTATCTCAGGCGTGCCAGTCAGTTGCTTCTGTCTGCAAGTCTATTCTGGTAAGTTGGAAACTGTGGGTGTTCCATAAGTTATTAAGAATTAAACAATTTACCTTTTGCCTTTCTTGTTTTGAATTGGAGTATTTTGTGGTGGAGTGTTGTTGATAACTGTCTTTCATTCAGAATAGTTTAGTCCACTCTTTGCTAATTTCAGAATCTTGCTCATGAAAGCGGAGTCCTGCAGCGTGGGCTTCAATGTCTGAATGAGAAGCTCGAAGCTCTTGCTCCCTTGCACCAGCCTTTACCGTCCCCAGGGGGTTCTGTCCTCTTGAGAGAGCTGGCCTCGGCACCCACCCCAGGCGAAGCAACAGCCTTTCCTCAGGCCACCCCTCTTCTCCACACACTAAGTGCAGTTCACGCCTACATCATGATGCTCGTTCATGTGTGCCGTACTGGCCAGACAGAAATCCGACAGGTGTCCATCAACCAGTGGGGCACAGAGCTGGGTCTGCGGGTGTTGGCCGGCCTCACTCAGCTCTACACGTCGCTGGTGTGGGAGTCGACTGTTCTGTTGGCCCTCTGCTCTGATGACGCTCTGCCAGCTGGCTGTCTCTTTGGCAAGGAGGACACAGATAAATTGCTTCCCCCAGACCTAAGAGTAAGTTTGCTTATTTGTTCTCTTGAGCTCTGTGACTAAAGATGTTTGTGTTTGTTTATATTTATATAAATGTTTATATGTTTCTGTTAAATCAAGATTGGATCAGATCATATTTTTGCTCTCTTTTCTTGTGTATAGACGTCTTTAGTAACATCACTTTAAACCCCACCAGGGTGAAGAGGGTAGCCGTGGTGAAGCCGTTGCCATGGAAGTTATGGAGACGGACACAGTGAAGATGGGAACAGAGGCCAGCACCCCATCAGGCGAGGGGGCCAGTGGAGACAGCCCAACGAGGCAGCAGTCTGCAGCCACGCAGCACCAAATGAAACTTATCAAGCCACTCTTGTCGTCAGCTTCAAGATTAGGAAAGGCTCTTGCAGAGTTGTTTGGACTCCTTGTCAAGGTTAGACTTTAAAAATTGTTCTTGTTGTTTTCTTTCTTCTTTTCTTTAGACCAAAACATTGGGAAAATAGCATCAACATGTATGTTTGATTGGTGATTTTTGCCTGATTGTTTTGCATGTGAAGGGGGATTAATAACTGTATCCCCCCTCAGCTCTGTGTAGGATCCCCCCTGAGACAGCGGAGAGGCCAGCAGGTCGCAGCCCCATTGACTCCTCCAACAACTTCAGCACGAGCCGTAGCATCAGCTCTGGCCAATCTCCTTCATGCAGGCCTGTCATGGAGTCCCCCTCCAGCATCCCCTCTGCCAAAGTTCCGTCTCACTTTTCTCATCTGCTCAGTGCGGTTCACCAACCCCATGCTCTTCGACGACAAGAAGATGCCGTACCACCTGATGCTTCAGTACTTCATGACTTCTCAGGGACTCAAAGGTGGGTTTTTATACTCCAGTGTATTTAGATAAGATTTTTGAATACCTGTTTTTATATATTGGGAAAAGTCTTGGGTAATGGTAAGAATAATTTTACTGCTTTAGCAATTTGCATTTTTTATCACTCTCTTGCACAGTACTGTAAGGAAACACGGAAATCCTAATTTTAACAAATCCTCCTCTCCACAGCTTTCTTTGATACCTTTGAGTGGGCCATAAGTGCTGGAGGAACCATGCAGACACAGGATGGTCTGGACTCAGGAGAGCTGCCCGAGGGAACGGGAGAGTTCCTGGACACCTGGCTCTTCCTGTTGGAGCGATTAGTGAATCCCCGGACCATGCTTGACTCGCCACATTCCCTGCCTGCCAAGTCTTCCCAGCCAGGCTACCAGCCATTCAGTCCTCTCAAGTTCCTAATTCACATTCAGAAGGTGAGATTGGAGATGTGCCTTGTTGCATTGAATTCTTGCATATCTTTAGTCAAAGGGTTGGCTCAGGACTGTACAGTCAGTCAGTGATTCACTCTCATTTCTCTCCTTCTTTCTTTCTTTCTTTTTTAGAAATCATTATATTTACATTTGCATAGAGATGAGAAAATAAGAGAATAAATTGAAGATTGATTTTAATTTTAGTTATGTTAGATCTGTTTAACTAGCTGTTGTTGCACTTTTTAGGTAGTGGAAAATACTTGTTACAATGGAGAATTTCTTTATTAATTTTGAACAGTGATTTTGAAAACTGTAAATGCTATATCAGTAAATTCACAAATTTTAAGATCCCCTAAATCCAATGACAATAAGAATATGTTCTTCATAGCAAATACTTTCTCGACAGCTTGCCTTTGAGGCTGTGATGAAGTTATGGAACAAGAAGCCACTGAAGTCGTATGGGGTGAGGATCTCTGAATCCGTGCTGGTGATCCTGTGCTCTGTCCTCAAGGGGGAAACCATCATCCAAGAGCGCCTGGCCTTGGAGAAGGAGACCACGTCCAGCACCTCCACCACCAGCAGCACCACAACTACCACAACCACAACCACCGCCACGACTGCCGGCACACCAGCGACGTCAGTGGCAGCGGCTGCAGCAGCAGCTCTAGGAATCACGAATCACGGGGATCCAGTCAGCCAGGCACCAGCTGAGCCGGAGGTGAACCAGCAACAGTTGCAGGCACTCATGGACATGGGATTCCCACGAGAGAGGTGCCTGGAGGCCATCGCACAGAGCCACACCTTGCAACAGGCAACCGAATACCTGTTGATGAACCCGATCATGGATCCAGTTGGGGTAAGTACACTTTTTGGAGCTCTGCCTGCGAGGCCAGATTTTTACTATTTTTACCTTAAGATATTTGGAAAATTTAGATACTTTTATTGAAGCTAAATTTAAAAAAAAAGAAAGAAAAAAAGGTTGCACTATATATTGTTGCACTATATACAGAAAGGTTTTGAAAATTATATATTCTACACTTATGTGAAAAGTGTCAGCTAAGATGAATATAAAGTATGATGTACACAATAATATACTCTTAAAGAAATAGGGGAAAAGACAAAACGGAATGGGAAACCTTTTTAATAATATTGGTGATGTGAATTATTTTTGTTAGAATTTTTACATCATGAATTGATTAATATGGCATTGGAAATACTTGTCTGAAAATTGTAGCCTCATTATTGAAAAAAAAAAAGAGAAAAAAAACCCATTAACTGAGGAACTAGAATGCTGAATAGGATATTTATGGAGTTAGAAATACTTCATGTAGAGTCTTAATCTGTCAGTAATGGCATTAGAAATCTCTCAGGGTCATAGACTCCGGTGATTTCTGGCAACCGTCCTGCCGCTGGGAGCAGGAGTCCGCTACATGTAGTGGACAATAACGGGATAATATGATATAGAGTTTACCACTTTTTTTATATCTTCTTAACTCTAGTTTTTTTTAATTGCTCATATGGTGCAGAAACCTTATTATTGTAAAGTCCTAGAAGTTGAGTCAACCCTGATTTTGCAACCATTATTTATAAGAATAGATATGTCTTGAAAGGAGTTTTCTTTCAATTTTATGTAGCAGTAAAATGTAAGAAGTTTAAATTTAAGGTATTTTGTAAGTGTAGGTTTGGTTTAGCAAAGCTTTTTTGCCTGTAGGTTGAAACAGTCTGTTGTTCTCCCTACATATTAGATCACATATTAGTATTGAATGTATGCCAAGACTAGTTAGCTAATGGAGAACAGAACAGAACAAAAATTCTTTCATGTTAGTGATAACTGAAACCATCTATTTTGTCTTTTCTTTTTTCTTTTTCAATACACATATATTTTTCAGTGAATTTTTTTCTCACTGTAATGGTTTCAAGCGTTAAAGTTGTTGCAGGCCAACCGAAGGCAGGTGTATATGTCAAAATAGCTCCCGACATCTGATCTTGCTTGCTTGAGAGCGGAGACGCTGGGGTTGAGCGGCACCTTTGCCTCGGTGCCAGCTTTGGAGAACATGTGCTGCGCCTTGTGTGTTAGGAATGGGAAAATACTATGTAGATTTTTTTATGATTTTATTTATTTATTTATTTTTTTTATTTATGCTAGTTATTTTATGGTGTGATTTGCATTGTTTTCAAGAACTTGTATGTAAAAGATCAAGAAGTACTTAATATGTGTATGTGGATATTGAGTTCAATATGTGATGAATTTACCATTTAGAATCTTTAGAGAAACATGATGCAAGTGATGCTTGAGAATTAGTTAGTGTAAATGCATACATCATGATATTGAAGTGATAAAGTGAAAATATTATCACGTTGTAGGTTGGGTCAGGTGGGGATATGGAATTAACCGAGGAAGATCAGATGCTACAGGCAATCGCAATGTCCCTGGGAGAGAATGTGCAAGTGTCGGGCAGCAGCGGCAGCAGTAGCAGCAGCGGTCAGCAGGCCAGTTCCGTCTCCAAGCCACCAGCTGTCCCACCAAAGGAAGAAGATGATGAACCTCTGAGCAAGAGCACACTTGGTGAGTATGAGGGGGGGGAGAGAGGAGGGGTGGGGGGCAAATAAAAACTCTGAGGATTTAGTTTTAATTATGTTCAAATGTTTGGTTACATTTTGAAGCTGAATTGCATCACTTAAAAATGGAAAAGTCAAGAAGAATGAATTGAAGTTTATCAGTTTTCTAGAGAGATTAAGAAGTGAAATCATTGGAATTCAAAGGGTTTAGAGGGCTGATGCAGGAATGAGCAATGGTTACTTATAAGTTTGAAAAAAGTGATATATAAGTCTTGTAGTGAATTTTAACATGTAAATTTACACTGAATATCCATGACATACATTTTGTTGGAAATTCAATGTTTCAAGATTAGACAAACTATACCTTTATCAATGTGTTGCAGACAAATTCTGTGAGTGTGTCCTCGAAGGTTGCCTGAGTCAGCTGGACGTGCAACCACAAATGGTGTACAAAGTGTGCGAGCTCCTTACAACTTGTGCAACTAGAAATGGTAGCCAGTGGAGAGACAACATGCTCACTACACTTATTAATCAGGTCAGTGTGCTACAGTTCATGGTAAAAAGATTTCAAATTATTAATCATACCTCTATAGGTTGACTAAGAAAAGAAAAAAATGTATTGTACTTAATTATAAGTCATTAACTCCATGGTCATTTGTTTTACTTTTCCTGTCTGTTTGCAGATAAGTAGTCAAGCCGGCCAACTCCTGTTAAGTGGAACACTATCTGCACCAGAAAGTGTTGAGCTTTTGTGTTCCTCCGCTCTGGCTGCAAAGTTCGCTGTCAGATTACATCTTGTCACTCTTTTGTTTGAGGTAAGTTGCGTCTGGATAGTAGCTTTAATCATTTCTGGTTTGACCTACATTTTTATTTTACATTTCACTTATCTTGTATCTTTATTTTATTATCCCTTATTTTCAGTTTCACTTTCAATTTGTATGCACTGAATATGAAAATGTTTTTGTATCAAGCACTGATAAAAAGTCCATCTGTAACACATCCCCATTCTCCATCATTCACTAGGAGATGAAGAGAGGCTGTGCAAGGGCTATGGAGCGTGCAGGATTGGTAGACACCCTTATCAATCTCTTCACACTGACTCACGCTACTATGGCGGCCAACCCTCCCTCACCGACTCAACCCACATCCACACAAGTGGCGGGTTCATTGCCCCCAGCACCCACGTCCGCGCAGAGCAAGGAGAAAGACAAGGAGAAGGACAAGGATACCGAAAGCTCCGGCACTCCCAAGTGGCTATCACCCGGCCTCCTCTTGCTGGACCTGTACGAGAAACTATCCATTGCCACCAAGAGAAGAGCAGCTGTGAGCAAGGTAAGACTGATATAGTTTATAGTTTAACAATCACTTTAAGAAATGGAAGAAGTATTCTGATGGTGATCTGGTGCCCAGCATGTGTTGGTAGGGCTGCCATCCTCAGTGATAGTTTCCATTTGGCACATAACACTGTTTGATATTATGGGTGAAATTGGATATGAAGATCACTGTCAAGATAATGACTTCTAATAGTTTGTTTCTAAGTTTGTTTTGTGTTAGAAGTCACTATTTTGTATTATTGATTTGAGAACCCAACTGGAGCAAATTGTTATATATGATCCCTTTTCATTTAATTCATAGAGATGGATGGATACTATAATTATTAATAAGTCAACAATTTAACTGTGCTAGCTCATGCTCCTAAGCAGTTGGGCTCCTGAGGTGCCATCCTTGTTGCTGGGGCCAGTGCTTTTGATGTGATTACATGTCACTTGGTGTGAATGAGTTAGTGTATGTCCTCCTTGATATATAGAGTGTGTTGTGGTAATTTTGATGTCTTTAGTGTTATTTTGGTATTTTGTTTTGAAATGCTTTCATATTCTTTCAGATTTGTAATCATGTCTGGAAGTGGTTTGATATGAGCACACTGAAATGGTGTGCTTACTCGGCTAGCAACAACAAAACAATTGATGACGCATACTGGGCAGGTGAAACCAGCATCAGAATTATCAATGGAAGAAGAAAGTACACTATACAGTTCAATTCTATGGTCCAGGTAAGGCTCTCCATCTGTATAGATTTACTCTTTAGGCAAATGAATATGTAGATGCACAGTTAGTCCTTGATAAATATATATAATGTATTCCAACCATATGTTGAACATTTTCTCTATTCATTTACCAGGTTAATGAGGAATCAGGAAATCGTCGTCCTGTCATGATTACCATCAAGGACAAAGTAATTGCTGAGCAGAAGAAAAAGCTGCCAGCAATCATGGCCAAGGAGGAGAGTGCCCCTGCCACCGATGACGACAGCCAGACAGACTCGAAGAAAACAACCTCCTCGGAGGATGAGGCCAAGAAGGAGGAAGGGGCAGAGGCCGTAACGGAAGCAGTGACCCTGGTGGCTGCCATGTGTCCAGAGGTAGATGTTCAGCCGGCTCCTGTTACCGTTGCTCCAGAGGCGGATGAGAAGATGGAGTGTGAAGACGGAGAGGAGACGACAGCTTCTGCCTCTACGGACCTGAACAACTTGGACTTAACGGCTGTTGACGGCCTGACAGAAGCTCATCAAGAAGCCATGATCAGGTGAGTTTAGCGACAATGCCTTTCTGTTTTGTAATATATCAGTAATGTTGTAAAATCTATTTTATTGTTACATAAAACAGACAGTAAACCATACTTATGCATTATTGAACACTTAATGAAAATTATATTGATAATTGCAGAGCCTGTGTTGGTTTCATCAAGCTGGGTGTAGAGCCAGATACCCTCCATGCCCTGATGCGACTATGCCTGAGAATCACCCGTGTTTGGGAGCAGGCATGCCTCTTTGCCAGTCTTGGTGGCGTGCGTACCTTGCTCTCCCTGACTGAGTCCTCTGGCTTCTGGGGTTTCCATAATCTGGCAGCTCTGCTCATGAGACACGTCTTGGAGGAACCAGCCACTCTGCGTTATACCATGGAGAAGGTTTGTTTACAGTTTACATTTTGAGGGAGAAGTGTGATTCATTTATCACTTGAGTGTAGATGATCTTCCCTTAGTTCATGAATAAAATCATATGATTGACCATTTGTCTAATTGGTGGTGATCAAAATTTCTGATGAATTCTGCTGCAGGTGGTGAGGTCATCAGCAAGCAACAATACCATGTCAGGGGCCAAGGAGCTCCATTACTTGTTACGCCTCTTAGCACCGGCAGCCTGCAGGGATCCTCAGCTGTTTACCGAAATCACACAGCAGTGCCTTCGCATTGACCTTAACATGACTTTGAAGCGAAATCTTATGTCGGCTAATAGTAAGTTCTATTGATTTTCTTTTTTTATTTATTTATTATTATTATTTCATCTTCTTTCCTATGTTCAAGAAAGCAGACTTCGGCAAAACATTTCTTGCATATATCAAGATAAAAATGTATCAGGAGATAGGACAGGCTGAAGTAACGTATGGCTGGAGTGTTTGTAATTATTTTTATTATTTATCCAAGGTGAAGACAGTATTCTCATGAAGAGCATTGGAGGCAAGAGTGCCGTTGGGGGTGGAGCCACAGGCAGCACGAGTGGGACTGGCAGCAGCAGTGGGGCGAGCACAGGCGTACCCTTGAGTTCAGAGCCACAGCAGCTGATTCATGACCTTCTGGAAGCGCTGACGACACTCAGTGATGATTCAGATACAGCGTCTACGACTGCGACAACGCCAAGTTCTGCCGTAGCCCCAAGTGTTGCCGCCACCACCACGCCGACGGAAGAGAGAACTGGGTCGGCTGGCGGCAGTGCCCGCAGACAGCTTCACTTATCCCGTTCATCTTCAGCCAATGACATGGTTGTTCAGGAAGCAGATGAACAGGTGAGAGCACAGTCTAGATAATTGTGGGGATAATTTTGAGGTTTTGTTTTTTATGGTTACTCTTTAGAGCCTTCTTCTCTTCCTATTATTAAATATTGCATACATTGCAGAGTCCAATGGATAGTGAAAGCAACAAGTTACCTGGAACTGATGGTAAAGCTCCCTCCAATGATAAAATGGATGATGCTGCCAAAAAGAAGAAACCGTTGCTGTCGAAATCATTAATTTGCAAGTTGATTGCGGAGTTTGTCCGTTCATATGCTGGTTGTGCAAAACTAGTCACAGAGCATCACTATTCGTCTGGTGCTAATGAGAAAATCACAGAGGTAAGCTTCATGTATGCTTTGTGTAAATTTTCATTCATTGGAGAGTATAGTAACAGTAACCTTTATTGATTCCAGTGTTGGATTACTCTTTCTTAATAATCAGAATTACTTGCTTATTATGCTAATTTACTTGCCAGTTGATAAAATGTTTCCTTTTCTCCCCTTTTCTAGGATTGTTCTGCTTTGGCATACATGTTAGATCACTTAGTATGCAGTGGCCCTACCTCAGATATGGTTGGTGGAGGCTCAACAGCAGATAAGGACACAGCAGGTCATGTGCGTGTTCTTATAGCTGCACTCGCATCGTGCAATCATGCCCCTGATGCACAAACAATACTTGTGACAGAGGTGAGGCTTTTATTATTATTGCTGTTATTATTATTATTATTATTTTTATTATTATTATTATTAATGATGATATTGATTTTTTTTAAATTTACTGACTTAATATTTCTGGGAAAAGTATGCATTATTAGAACTGGGTCTGGTACGGTCCTATGGTAAAAGTCATTAAATAAAAAGTATCATAAAGCGTCTTGACAGTGCAGTTTTGCTGGATGCACTTTGAGAAAGATGGACTCTCTTAAATGAATTTTGTATTTAAGTTACAATAGACCTATCTAGTCAACAAATCCTGGAAGCTGCAAAATATGCTTAGGTTTATACACACATGCTAAGTTGTATCTACTTTCAGGTTAAGGGAGCATTGGCAAGAGCGACAGCTGTAGCAGAGAGTGCAGAGAAACATGCAAGATTGCAGGCACTTGTGGGTTTGATTTGCACGATGATGGAGGCTTGTCCTGCCCAGTTGAATCAGCCACCAAATCTCTGCTTCAAACAGCAGCAACATGGGTATGTTTCCTGGCAGAGTCAACAGAAGATGTGGATATTCATTAGCGGGGCTGTTTATGTGAAAGATGTTGCCATAGAATATTGAAACCTGTAAGTAGGTTTGACATATTAAATTCTAAAGTTAGGTATGACAAATTTACCTCATATTTGTATACTAATATCTGTGCTCCCCTTGCCAGAATGAACAACATGATCAGAGTGATGGTCCGCAAAGGCCTCGTGACAGATCTTGCCAGAATACCCCATAGCTTAGACCTGTCCTCGCCCAACATGGCAGGCACAATCAACGCTGCACTGAAGCCACTCGAACTTGTCTCAAGAATTGTTAATCTTCCATCGTTCGTCCCGACATCTTCATCGAAAAAGAAATATCCACAGCACGACGATCAGCAACCACCCGGTATTGGTAAGGCAGATGTGGCCGACATTACCTCGTTCATTTACACTGCTAAGAAGTTTGTTTGGAGAAATTTTCCTTTCATGTCAATTCTATAATTTTATCTTATATTTTCCCCATTTTGATGAAGCCTATTTATAGTAAAGTTTTGTTATTGCATCTTTTATAAAATAGTATAGTACATCAACACTATTCTTTTCAAATTGCAGGAACAGGTACAACCAATAGTGAAGCTACTCGTGCACAGGGTGATGACAACATAGAAGACACAGAGAATACCGAACATGATATATCGGGCGCTGGAGAGAGCCTGGAGCCAACCTCGGATGCACATCCTAACGAGGTGAGCTCAACTTCCAGCATTTCAGTTCACATCTATCACTTTTCTTTTAATTTTGTTTGGTTGCTCAAATTTTATTACTTCAAAAGTCTGTTGTAGAATGGTTTCGTAGACTTAATGTGAAAATGCCGATTTATATTTTCAGAGTAAGGTTTGTAATTTTGTTTTTATTTATGTTTTTAATGCTCCTACTTTCGATATCACAAAATTTCTCTATTTGGGTTAGTGCTAATGGTTTCAACTTGTGCTCACAGGATAGCACTCTAGTAGAAGGGGATGAGGCTGGGCTGGAAGAGATCCTCGACCAACTACTGGAAGAAGGCGCTGGAGGGGGAAGGACACAGCAACACCGAGATTCTGTGGCTGCAACAGTTACCTATGTCATCGACCACGATCCCCCCATGGACACAGACGACACCCTCCATGACTCACGGATGGTGACTCATTCTGAAAGTCAGGTTAGTTGTGCAGAAAACTTTTTATGCAAATATTGCCTTGTGTATGGCAAATGTACTAGTATATCTAATCATGTACCTACTCATTCACTCACTCACACACTGTACACTAGAAATAGAACTGAAGAGATGTACATTTTAGTTCTCATATCAACAAATGTATATTGGTGTGACGTTGTTTGAGTATTATATCCACTTTCAGTTCCTTGATGAAGGAGAAGGAGGAGGAAATGAAGAGCAGGAGGATTCGTCTTCTGATTCTTCAGAAGAGAGAGAAGACGAAGAAGCAGACGACGATAATGATGACGAAGAGGTGGAGGAGGAGGAGGAGGAAGAGGAGGATGGTGGTTAGTGGTGGAGGATGTTTTCTTTTTGCACACGCAGTAGGATGTTGTTAGTTTAGTGGTATTTGTTAGATTAGTTAGCTATAATGGTCAGGTCTTGCTCGCTTGGTTTTGGCCTGGTTGTGCTTTGCAAATTTTTTGGTATATTTTGTCTTTTTTTTTTTTTATATGCATCATGGACTAGTTTTTATTTGTTATATATTAAGTTTCAATTGTAGAATTGTGCAGTAGCCCCACAGGTGAAATTTTCTTTCATTCTTATTTTCTTTGCAAGTAGATGTTTGCATTCAGTAGGTTGCATGTTTACTTTTGTGGAAAAGAAAGAAAAGATGGGTAGCAGTAAACAATAGAATATTATTTGAAACCATTGCATGTTTGGAAATGTGAACCATAGGTACTCATAGATACAGAATTGTCAGCTTGGTATAGTCCTTATTTTGGTAGTGGAAAGCTATGAAGGAGGGTGACAAGAAGCAAGTTTGAACAGAATGGATTAGCAATAGTATATACTATCCAGCTTCATTAATGGAATCTGCACAAGGGCCATATATCCATACATGTTGTATGTATGGATGTATGTATGGTTTGAGTGCTAGAGTAGATACTATTTGATTTGCTGATTAGTTATAGTGGCTAATGAGTGATAAATATAAGTAACAGGGTTATTTGATGATCTTGAAAAGTGATGCAGAAAAAAGAGGAAGTTATGAGTAGGTGGAGACTTAGATTGTGTGACAGTCCATATTTGCTGGCCTATAAGAGTCATCCCTTTTTCTTTTAAACGTTTTAGTGCATGAGATTCACTCCAGTGATTTTTGAGAAACATCTTCATATAGCAGAATGAAATTGTGTTGGTATCATTTCTTGTAAGAGCGAGTTTAAGATTACGTGCCAAAAATTGTCTGATAAAGATCTTGCATTAAGGAAATATTTCATGATTACATTGGTTAGTACAAGGGCTTAATGGCATTTGGCAACTGGAAAGAAATTAAAGGATAATTTTGAGTGTGGAAAGATATTTTCTGGTATTCTTCAAGGACCCTTTAAAATCTGGAGTGCAGTGATGTTTTGTGGCATAGCTGGGCTACAGCACCGTTGCTGTTATTGTTTTTCTTGTTCAGTTATCTGCTCAAATAGCAAATAACAATTGGTGTTTTTTTGTTTTTTTATGTATGGATGTATGTATGGTTTGAGTGCTAGAGTAGATACTATTTGATTTGCTGATTAGTTATAGTGGCTAATGAGTGATAAATATAAGTAACAGGGTTATTTGATGATCTTGAAAAGTGATGCAGAAAAAAGAGGAAGTTATGAGTAGGTGGAGACTTAGATTGTGTGACAGTCCATATTTGCTGGCCTATAAGAGTCATCCCTTTTTCTTTTAAACGTTTTAGTGCATGAGATTCACTCCAGTGATTTTTGAGAACATCTTCATATAGCAGAATGAAATTGTGTTGGTATCATTTCTTGTAAGAGCGAGTTTAAGATTACGTGCCAAAAATTGTCTGATAAAGATCTTACATTAAGGAAATATTTCATGATTACATTGGTTAGTACAAGGGCTTAATGGCATTTGGCAACTGGAAAGAAATTAAAGGATAATTTTGAGTGTGGAAAGATATTTTCTGGTATTCTTCAAGGACCCTTTAAAATCTGGAGTGCAGTGATGTTTTGTGGCATAGCTGGGCTACAGCACCGTTGCTGTTATTGTTTTTCTTGTTCAGTTATCTGCTCAAATAGCAAATAACAATTGGTGTTTTTTTTTTTTTTCACTGTGGAAATTTATCATTTGCAAGTTTATATTATATAGCGCTGTGGTTAGGGTAGATAACAAAAAAGAATAAATGAAAAAGAAAAAGTGAGGGAAAAAAAATTACCACTATCTTGTACACTGAATTGTATTGCCATTCAAACACCTTAAAGTAATCCTTATTTGTACACCTTGAGCAACTCTTTGTAAAATTTGATGTCATTTTGTGTTTGATATAAATTGTGTTTTATGTTACTGTGCAAGTGATATTCCCCGGAGGCACAAACTGAGGATTTGTGTTCGTTCGATTGCAGTTCACCACTTGTCACTCCACCCGCTTGCTCTAAGCCTTACACCTTCAGCTCTTGTGATCCGGGCGTATTGGACACAGGGTAATTGACTTATTATTTTATTACCATTTTTTCACTGTGGAAATCTATCATTTGCAAGTTTATATTATATAGTTAGCGCTGTGGTTAGGGTAGATAACAAAAAAGAATAAATGAAAAAGAAAAAGTGAGGGAAAAAAAATTACCACTATCTTGTACACTGAATTGTATTGCCATTCAAACACCTTAAAGTAATCCTTATTTGTACACCTTGAGCAACTCTTTGTAAAATTTGATGTCATTTTGTGTTTGATATAAATTGTGTTTTATGTTACTGTGCAAGTGATATTCCCCGGAGGCACAAACTGAGGATTTGTGTTCGTTCGATTGCAGTTCACCACTTGTCACTCCACCCGCTTGCTCTAAGCCTTACACCTTCAGCTCTTGTGATCCGGGCGTATTGGACACAGGGTAATTGACTTATTATTTTATTATCTGCTTTTTTGTTTCTTTGTTGTGATTTCTTTTCCTTCCCCTCCTGGAGAGAGCTGTTTTTGTTTTTTTTGTATAGGCCAGCAAATAAGGGGTATGGAGAATGAGAGAGGGAGGGGGGGGGAAGAAGGGTTTTATGTGCTTTTCCATTCAGAGTTCAGCCAGTAGAATTAATAGCCGCATGATAGTCAAAGAGAAATGTAATTGATGATTTCTTATAAGGAATTTACAAATTAATCCTTTTAGTTATGTGCTGTTAACTAGAAGCACTAAGGGTCCAAACCTCCACAAATACTAATAAATCCATGGAGAGAGAGAGAGAGAGAGAGTGTGAGTGAGAGTGAGAGTGAGAGAGAAAGGGAAGGAGGACCAAAAAAAAAACTAATTTCAAAATAATTTTGTTAGAAGTGATTTCCTGTTGGCAAGACCTATTTTCTGTGTGTGTTTGCACTGTCGAAAATCAATTTGTGTAAGACTTGCTCCATTTGGGATCTAAATCACAAGGAAAATAAAACCAATTTGTCCCTGGCTCTTGAGCAACACCCAGATAAATTTATCACAGTCCATTAGCAACTTCTCGTGTGATTCCACTGTCAGATGGACAGACCAATAAGCCTGAGAAAAACATGAACTCTGCAAAAGTGAAGATAAAGAATAAAAAGATGTGTGAATAAATTGTATCCCCAATGACTTAGAAGACAGCCGAGATAAAACGGAAATTTGTCCCCCTCTTTTCAGCTGATGACGACGACGAAGATGAGGAAGAGGAAGAGGAAGGCTCCGTGTTCGACGAGGGCTACGAGGACTTGGAGGATGCCTTCATTCGTCTCCCGGGCGAGCGGGACTCCGACGACGTCCTCCTCCTGCCGTCGTACCAGCAGTACATCGACACCATTGACACCATCATCTTTGGCGACCGCGTCTCTCTCCATCACCATAGCAACTCGCATGAGGATCCGACATTTATGGCATCAACACCTAATGCCAATCCAAGTAAGAATTGATATCAGTTCTCTTTTCTTGTTCTTGTCCTTTGTGTTCATACTTCCCCCTTTTCACCGTGTCTGTTTTTTTTTTTTTTTTTTTTTTTTTTCTTCTTCTTCTTCTTCTTCTTTTTTTTTTTTTTTTTTTTTTTTTTTTTTTTTTTTTCTTCTTCTTCTTCTTCTTCTTCTTCTTCCTTGTCTTTTTTTTTTTATTCCGTGTTGACTGATATCCCATCTATTTGTGAAGTAGTGTCTTACTTAGCCCTTTTTTCCTTACAGGTGGGAGCAATGCCATCCCAATGCACCCACTGTTCCAGAACCCACGCGAAGTCCCAGCCACTGCCAGTGCCCGCCTCAACAGCCGGCCCAGTCGCCAACGCGGGGTGCTCAGGTACCATACTGTCACCCCACGCACCCACACCACCACCACCACCATACTCCAGAGGTGACCCCCCACTCCCCATGACCACAGCTTGCATTAGAATCCTGGTAGCACACACCCTGTAGCTCACCTCGGCTCTCTCTTAACCCATCATGCCACACTTGCAAGAGGAAAACCGCCAAAGTCCCCCACCCCACCCAGCCCCGGCAATACCCGCTCCCCTCACCCTGTGTTCCCTCTTCTTGGTTCTGTCTTATGTCAAATTGCCAATCTCTGTTGTCACCCTCATATATCTCTCTTTCTCTCTCTGTCTCTCTTCTCTCTTCTCTCTCTCTCTCTCTCTCTCTCTCTCTCTCTCTCTCTCTCTCTCTCTCTCTCTCTCTCTCTCTCTCTCTCCCCTCTCCTCCCCCCCCCCTCCCATGTAGTGTACACTTCCCCTTGGCTTTTGCTAGATCCTCCCTTGGAGCCTTCCTTTTTGATAGTGACCTGGACCTTTTCTTTTCTTTTTTATTGAATTATTATTTACTTTTTTCATTTCACTTATTGGTTACCTCTTTGTTCATGGGCTTTTCTAAAAGCATTACTCGTCCCCATCCCTTCCCATCCATTTTGCGTTTGAAAACATGTTCATTACCATTCTGGAACACCATGAATCGTCAGGATCATAAGCAACAGAGGGTATTACATATCCCATAACAAGGATAGTGAAAGCTTAAAACCATTTTGTATTTTATCCATGGCAAAGATAAAGATAAAGATAAAGATTAAAAAAAAAAAAAAAAAAGAGCAGATGCTGGTTTTGTCCTTTTAATTCGTATTCATAACAAGCTATGTAAGTTGGTCCTTAGTTTCCTTTTTGGATGTTCATCACAGGAGACAGAGATTACATGCTTACAGACCCAAAGGAAAGTTGTGGAGATGTACCGGAAAGTAGCACAAGCTAGCGTGGAAGTCGTTGTTAAAGGAAAGGATTTTGAATGATTGAATGGGAAACTGGATTTGAAGGGAATCTCCTCAACTTAAAAAAGGATAAAGGATAGAAGGGTTGTGAATCCTGGTGTGTAAGTCAAGTTTTTTTTTTTTTGTTAGGTTTGGTTAGTCGGCCTTTTATGCCATTTTCAAATTAAAATAAGATAAGCTGAGCTTGAATTATAGCAAAAGTTTAGATCATATTAATGTTTCCAAAGATATGATATTTGATGATAATTTGTAAGTCAAAAGTTGAATTTTTGAAGATTTGTAGTAAACAAGGTAATGATACTTTATTTTTTAAAAAGGAGCTTCCACTTAAGACATTCCCAGCATCTAATTTACACACACACACACACACACACACACACACACACACACACACACACACACACACACACACACACACACACACACACATACATACATACACACACATACATACACAAATATTTAGTATTCCTATATATACATATTTTATAAATTCCATTCCCCATGCTTAACCCAGGTTTCTTCACTGACCCTTGAAAATATTTCTCAGACACCTTGCTAGGTTGACTGGGCAAAGTAAGAGATGTAATTAATGCTTTTTGATGTTATGTTTTGTTCAGATTTACATGTAATTCTGATGGAAGCTCAACATCAAAATCTATCAGTTACACCTCCTTATTCATAAAGTTGTTGTTCTCACTTGTACCCTATTTACATCTGTCAGCAATTTGGATGAGTTTAGCAGATAGGTTTTAGGTAATATATTTTAAGGCAGGAGGTGTACAAATTAGAATAGTTACGTAGATGCAGAGAAAATGGCACTGCCTTCCATTCCCCAAACTGGATTGGCTCTGCTGGTGCATCTCCTTGGCTTAATTTCACTCCCTTCTGTGTCTCTCATACTTCTGCCTCCATTACACATCCCTCTGCTGCTTTGAGAGCCTCTGCTTCCACTGCCTCTTACCCGATGACTATCACAAATTCTCTGCTGCCACTCTTGTTTATATTACCTCTACTGCTGCCTTGGTTTTCATCCCCAAAAATGGTTCGTGGACCACAGCTACTTCTGGTTCCTTGGTCTCACTCTTCCTTATCCATGCAGTTGGTTGCGTCCTCGTGTGAGTATTTCATTTTGAGGTTGTGAATTGTACGTTTCTACTTGGCATTACTCGTGTTGGTCGGCAGGCTGCAGCCGATTCTTTGCAGTCACTCCAGTAACAGACTCTTTTGTAGTCTATCCATGGTGAACTAATACTTCTTAGCTGCCATGATCTCTTGCATGAAGCATTGTACTAACAGCAATGGTGCGTTTGAGGCTTAGGGGCATCTGTGTGGAATTTTTGCCTCCTTACTCTTCTGACTTACTAACAACTGCCATCCTCATCACCACCTCGACATACAGAGTACAGACACCAACCTCATCACATCATCACCACTCTTGTTTGTTGTTGATTTTTATCATTTTTGCTAAATTTGATCCCTTTTCTATTGTTGTTTTCACTGTACGCGTAACTAGATATTTTCTTACTTTCTTACAACTTTGAACTCGTTAGATATTTGTTATTGTTCAAGGTAACTTGTGGTTAATGAGATTTGTAACCTATACCTTATAGTGAATTGTATTTGTTTGAAAGAAAATGACAAAAGTAGATAGATTTTGACATGGTTTTTACTGAATTCTTAACTGTATTGGTGAATGTAATTCTCAGAGCACATACTAGATACAGTTTTATATTTGTTAACATTCTTTGATATGTTTTCAAAGAGTCATGTTCAAGAATTTTTGGCTTCATATATATGAATTAGTTTTGACAGCTGATTAGGTAGCACAAAAGATCATTGTCTATCCCCAGGTTGTTAGGGCCAAGTCACCGCGATGCCCTCCAGCTCTCTTCAAACCTGCGTGAGGCAACGCAGGTGCTCTTCACCAATCCCGATGTAAGGCTCATGCCCCCAGACCCTGACGAGTTCATTGATATGCAGGTGAGTGTTTTCTGCTTTTCTGTGTCTGGTTGATGTGTATTTACTGACATTTCTGGCAACCTTCGAACCTTCATGCCAATCAGAAAGTTTTAGAGGTCAGTCTTTTTTCGCTTGGCTCGAAAGGACTGTGTGTCTCCCGTACAGAAGCAGGTGTGTTAACAGCAAATTAACTTTTTGAGTTACAGGATCATGGCGGCACAATGATGAATAATGGAGGTTCGTCGGCTTCACTGGCCAGCGTCCCCAATGCCCTCTCACGGTGGACGGAAGAGGCCCGGGTTTTAGAAGCAGATTCCATGCATGATGCTGTTACAGGTACGTCAGGCGCTTTGTATTTCTAAAGATCTGTGCTTGCCAAAGTATTCTCATTCTCTTCATTTCTAATTGAAATGATTTCAAGACTTTAAATTCTAGTGGATAGAGATTGTTTAGAAAATTGATTCTGTAGTTGAATCCAGCATTACCTATAATAATTGTTATTGCTGCTCTTGACAGTGGTCAAGCCTGCTCTGATGGCAGTGTTAGAGAAGTACAGAGATGCAGAACAGTCTGAGCGTGACAAGAAGAAGAAGGAGCAGGAAGCCAGCAAGCCGCCACCAGCTTCTACGGAGACCTCCCAAGCACCGCTTTTGCTTCTGCAGAGTGGTAGGTGTTCATTGTGTTGTGATTGTTCTGGTTGTTTTACATAGCCCACTACTGTAGATGGTGTAAGTTTAATAACAGGGCAAGCCGGCATTTAGTAACTGACGTATTTTCAGGTGACACTGAAATGGGAGAAGCCACTGAAAACAACCAAGCCACATCAGATCAGGAGCCAGCTAACCAAGAGACCACCGGCCAGGATGCTGCCATCTTGAGTACTGCTTCCATTGCCGAGTCCATTGTGGAGTCTGTCCTCGGCACCTCATCTGGCCCTGTGACGACTACAGCAACCCCCAGCTTCTCTGGTTTGTTGACGCTGCTTTCTCCAGTATCATCTGGTGCACCAACACTGCCTCTACAGGAACCCCCAGTATCCTCCGTCCCAGCCATTAGTGGATCCCTAACATCTGGTGTTCCTTCAGCCCCAGCAACACCCCAGACCACTACTGTTAGCAGTCTGCCTCCATTCCCCTCCCCTGCAACTTCTACCTCCACACCAACACTTGTGGCTCCAACCAACACTTCCTCCCTGGAGGCGGAGGCCACATCATCCACCCTCACAGTTAATGACACAGAAATGGTGGCAGCCTCCCCATTACCAGCGACAGGGTCCACTCCAATATCTCAGGATAATGTAGAGGCTCTGGCTGCCCAAGAAGAGACTCCAATGTCTGTCAGTCCTCCAGAATACCCCAGCCAGTCACCTGAGCTGCTTGCCTCTTCCGGAGATGCAGCCTCCACCCCTCCTTTACCTCAAGTCACCCCGAGGGACGACTGGTACGACCCATCCATGACAATGCAGCAAGACCCTCCTCAAGATCAGTCTGAGGACCAAGCTGGAGCACCCCCAGAACTTGCTATGCCACCCGCATCAGAGAGCAACACTGAGGGCAGGAGCACTACGTAAGTGTTATTCTCCTACTCATTTTCACCTCCTTGTATATGAATACTTTATGGCTTCTCTTGATCAATATGAATGAAAGGTTTTCATGAAGTAACTGGGGTTGTATTTATATAGGATACATACAGTTTGCACTAAATACGAAGGGGCTTTTATGGCAGAAGAGACAGTAAATTTTAGTCCAAAGCTTTTGGCATTTATGGTCATCTTTGTTATCATCATGTTCTACATGGTTTAGATAGATGTTACATAAAAACAGCAAGAAAAATTATATTTTTTCATGATGTCTTACTGGTAGATATATGATTTAGGACTGATTTGTTGAATTTTAATGCTGACCTTGACATTTTGGTCCTTTCAATTTATTTTGAAGCAAATTTTGCAAGCAAGTCAACATGAAATAGAATGTTTCTTGGGGTTAATAACCTGTTAATGACAATACCAGAAATATTTCGATGTCAGACTCCAAAGGCTTCTGACAGCTGTCCTGTCGTTTGTCAGGAGTCTGCTACATGTAGTTGAACTTTCCACTTGGTTTGCTCTAGTGCATCACAAAGCCAACGGCCGTACATGGCTGGAGTCTGTTTGTTATGACAGCTATAGGCATGGCCCAGCAGATATGGGTTAAATGGTATTTTATAACCAAGAATATAGTGAATTTGCTAAAATTAGGTATTCTTGCACATTCTGGAAAAGTAAACAAATAGGAGCTCGATGTTGATAGCTATCAGTAATATAAAAAACAAAAAAACTTTACCCCTTTCTATTGACCCTGTTTATTTTTACTATTCATTTTTATTTGGCTTTTTGTCATTGGTTTAGGAAATTAGAAGACGATTAGTAAAAGTAGTAACCCTTCTTTGGTTAACTCCCATTCCAGCACGGGAAGCGAGAGCAACGTGGCCGGCCCCTCGGGATCCAACAGCAACAGGCCCGACTACTCTGCCATCCTTGGAGACATTGAAATACCCGAAGGTGTTGACCCCAGCTTTTTGGCTGCCTTACCGGAGGAGATGAGACAGGAGGTCATCGCTGAACAGCTTAGGTTTGTCTTTATGCAGTCTGGGCTGTTTTTCAGGGTTTGAAAAAATTTCATCAATAATTTGGTATCATATATCACAGTATTAGTAAAAAATATTTATATGGTAATAGTAATATTTATACAGTTGAAAAGAAAGATAAAGAAGACATTGATGCAGGCTTGTTGTCACTATAGTTACACCTATTTCCACCGTGACAGACTTCAACGCGTGAGACAGAGAGCAACCGAAAACACAAGGGAGAACAATAGCACGACTGTTGGTGAGGTGAATCCAGAGTTCCTAGCAGCACTGCCCCCTAATATCCAGGAGGAGGTGCTGGCTCAACAGCGCTTAGAACAGCAGCGGCAACAGGCAGCCAGATCCAACCCAGACGATCCAGTAGATTCAGTTTCGTTCTTGCAAACACTCCCACCTTCCCTTAGACAAACGGTAAATAAGCAATTTGCTGCTGTGGGGAAACTTTGCATTACTTGATTGATGTTTATTGGTTGAAAGGGAAGATTTTAGGTATTAAGTTTTTTATGGGGGAGGGGGGGGGTATATGATTTGTGTGAATTAGTACGATTAAAACGCCATAAGCGAAATTACAGTGTAGTTTTATTATTTACAAATATTGGTCTGTATTTACACCTTCATTTATTCTCAGAGCAAGAATTTTAGTTACTACTCAATGGTAGAGGTTTATAGATATTGATGCTAATACTATTACATAACTGTTTATATTGAAAAGTTTAAGAAAATCTGAATTGTTTCTGTTCTTCTCTGTCTTAGATATTGGCTGACCTCGAAGACTCGCAGTTTGCTGCCTTGCCACCTGAGTTGGCCCAGGAAGCCCAGACCCTGAGACGGCAGAGAGAGGAGCGCAACCGCCACGCACATGAGCACATGTTCAGCAGGACCAACGCATCGCTGTCGTCCATCCTGCGCAATACGGCGAGAATGGGCTCGCGCCTCATGCACTCCTCCAGCTGGTCCACAAGCTGGAATCTGCGGCCGTCGTCCAGTGGGCAGCAGGCCTCTACCACGTAAGATGTCTTCTTATTGGCATTCATATTTTTAATGCTCTGATTTTCATACAGTTTGAATATTGTGGAGATACAGAAGGTGGTGATGGTATTCTGATCACAAATAATAGATAAAAAGTACTTTGAAGGTTGATAGGAATTGTGATTTCTTGTCGCAGTTTTTATGTTTTTTAGTTATTATTACAGACTATCATTCAAAGTCGGAAACCTAATACAGAAATAAATAGTTATTACCGCAGCAATATCAGAACCTGTTACCTTATTTATCAAATTTGGCTTTTCATTCTTTACTAAACGTTCCCCTTCCTCCCCCCTTTGTCCAGGACCACCAAGCCGAGAGGAAGGCAGTTGCTAGACCACGAGGCCATGACCTGCCTTCTGGTCCTGCTCTTTGTGGACGAGCCCAAGCTGAACACTGGCCGCCTGCACCGCGTGCTGCGTTACCTGTGCCACCATGCCCCAACTAGAGATTGGGTGATTAAGGTAATTGCGATAATCTTTTTAATTATCCTTGTTGTTATGATCCCATTCCTTATATATGTGTCAAGGTAATCATTTATAAAGGATTGAGTAATTTGTTGGCACGCATTTAAGACTGTCTCAAGAAGGAAGTGGATTCATACTGAAAGATTGTCTGAATGATTACATTTTATAGATTTCCTTTTATTTTGCTTAGCGGTAGAGAAAGAGAGAAAGAAATAGGGAGGATTGAAAACATTCACCCACTATAAATCGCCTTACTTTTCCAGGCCTTGCTCTCTATCCTGGAGCGTTGTGGTGACCCAACACTCTCCAGTCGTTCTGCTGGGCCCAGCACTGACCTCCCCATGCCCAGCCTCCCCCCCATAACCCCCGAGCCAGCCAGCAAGTGTGGCGGCAAGAAGGGCACGGCAGGGGGGAGAGGGGACCAGGCACCCCTTTCCTCGACCCCCGTGTGGCGCAGCGAGTCCCGCTCCCCAGCCGCGCCCTCCTGGTTGAGCATGAGCATGGACGCAGCATTAGGGTGTAGGGCGAGCATCTTCCAAATTCATCGCACACAGCCCACAGGCAAACGCACATCTGTGGCATCCTTGACAACAGCTGTTAATATTCACCCCCAGGCTTCTCCTCTGGTGTGCAGGTAGGCCTTGAAGCAGGGTTTGGCAGCTTAGAAGTGTAGGCTGGTGTCCTTCTACCTGTCTCAAATCTTGTCATTTTTGTTTGTTTTTCTCCAATTGTCTGTTGGAAATTTACAGAAGTTTTCTTGTTAGATACACATGCATGTATATGTAGATGGATGAATGGATTAATTTACAAATATATTTCTTTACTTTGACTAAAAATTATGAACTTGTTTCTCTATGTACACAAGTAGAAAATCATTCACAGTTTGCTAGTAACAATGAACTAATGACTGTGCTCTTCTGTTGCAGACATGCACTTGACACACTGATCTCATTGGCCAAAAGTTTCCCCAGCCACTTCTTGCCTCACCAAGGGAAGGAAACAGATGACAGTAAAAGTGATAGTAAAAAATCGAGCAGTGGAACGACCACAGGTGCTATTAGCAAGAACTCCAAGGGTTCATCCTCCTCTAGTCAGAGCAGTGAACCCACAGACTTTTGGGAGTTGCTGGTGAAGTTAGACTCAATTAGTGTCTCGCGTAAGGGCAAGGGGCTGCCACGCACCCACTCCAGCGCGGGAGGGAACAGTGAGGAGGAGCAGCGCGTGGCAAGCCTGGAAGCGTCAGCATTGGGGCAACTCATACAGCAGCTGGCTCACCCTGTCATCCGGCGGTCGTCGCTTCTCACAGACAGGTTGCTGCGGCTGCTGGCCCTCATTTCCTTAGGCCTCCCAGAAACAGCTGATTCAGCCTCCACGCAAAACTCCAACACCACAACCCAGCACTCAGTTGAGAATTCTCAAACCCTAGAACATTTGTTGAAATTAGCAATTCAGGTGAGTGGAAAGTGAAAGAGAAAGGGACCAAGTGATATTTTTGTTCTGATTAAATCATGGTCACCATGACAGATGATGAAGAAAAGTAATTGCATGTTGATAGTCTAATAACTAACAAATCTATTTTGGATGTTTCCAAATACATTTCAGGTCCTGACCAGTAAATCCTGTTCCGAAGAGGGCTTGGAGGATGCCACGGCTCTCCTCCTCCACCTCTCCCACGGCCCCCCTCCTGCAAGGGACCAGGTGTTGCGTCTCCTGCTGCAAGGAGCTGCAACTTTAGGCTCTACTGTAGCTACACACATTGCGGCTCTTCTCTCTGATCTCCGAGCGTACAACGCCTCACACCCGATGGCAAGCCATGAAGATGAACACCAGCCTCATGTCACAGACAAGAGCAAGAAGGGCTTGTTGCAGGACAGGTAGGAGTTCTATTTGTTTACTATTTTTTAAATCAAATTTTGAAGTAGAATAATGCAGTTACTATTTAAGTGTCATTCTATATTTAATTGATACTGATTTTTTTTCTCTTTCTCTTATTTTTTTAGATTCACCAATGAATGTATTATCATCAGCGGGGCAACTAAGGTGAAACCCCCGTGCGAACTACAACTAGCTTCTATGTCTGCCCTCACAAGCAAAACCTCCTCTCAGGCGTTCTTCCTCCGTACCCTAAAGGTCATCATACAATTAAGAGATGCAATAAGATTATCACGCACCAGAAGAAATGGTAGGTTCCTTTGTGTAAGATGAGGTTTGGATAAGTTTGTGAAAAGTATCTCAGAGTAATGGTAGCCTAGATGTATATTAGGGTCAGTCGTGAAGACTGTCACAGAGCTGTACACTTGTATTTGTAAATATAATCTTGTTATTGACTAATGTTAATAGATTGTAATTATTTTTTAATCTGATAAACATGTTGAGTTTTCACAATCAATAATTTTCTGACTTTCATGACTAATATAACTAAATAACTAATATTGATTTTCTCCGTCGCACAGCTCCTCAGAGCAATAACACCAGCGAGAGGCCAACCAGCGGTGGCCAGGATGTAGCAGGTAATCAAGAACCAACAGAGGGCACTGGAGGAGAAGATCAGACCGCTGCCAGCAACAACCAAGAACAGTCTGACGCAGCAGCTAGCCAGGACATCACGGAAGCGACATCAAGAACAGACACGGCGAGTAGCAGAGACCAGCTGGAGGAGAGCCAGCAGTCCCAGCAGCAGGCTCAAGAGAGGAATGTTGAGACTGCTGTGTCAATAGACGTGCCCAACCCAGACACAGATAATGTTGTCAATGCAACATCCACTCCTCAGGAGGAAGCAACACAGCCCACTGCTGAAGCCATGGATGTTGATAATGAGACAACAGGTACTGCGAATGATGTAGACTTCAGGATTAATTATTTAAAGTTGTCATTTTATTCCCTTTATTAGTATTGATATGTTTTTTATGGTACAGATTGTTATTTTGCCTTTCAAAGATCATTGTACTTGGGGAGTGGATATTTGTAGTTCATGACAAAGGGAAAATGTTTTGCTGGAATATGAATATTGTGGTTCATGATTAAGGAAAGAAAATTTGCTGAAATATGGATATTTTGGTCCAAATATAATTCCATCCAAGATATCCCCACCTCCCACATTATATTTGATGTTAAATCAAAAAGCACTTACATTTCAATGCATTGCTTTTGCAGAAACCACGGAGCTGGGTAGCTTAAGCAGTCAGCTGAACTTGGACGAGCTCTGGTCAACACTTTCCGAGTGCCTAGTGGAGTTAGGGGAGACCCCAGACACCCATGCTGTGCTAGTCCTGCAGCCTGCAGTCGAGGCCTTCTTCTTGGTCCATGCTTCAGGGGCTTCAGGGGACAGGCGCGAGAGGACTACCACGCAGACTGAATCACGAGAGGCGCAGCTGGCTCACCTGCATCATGAAATCGCTCCTCTCTCGCCTCTGCCTTCTGTTCCTACAGATGGTAAGGAAGTGTACCTTTTTGTACCTATCTCAAGCTGTTTTTTTATTGAAAAAAATAATAAATAAATAAATAAAAAAGATAGATAGGGGAATATTGATATTGAATTCAGTTACATATACTCCACCCAGGAGCTGTTGTCACTTTAATATCTGGCCAATCTCTCTTGCAGATGGAGAAGGAGCATCCAGTCAAGCGGGTGCAAGAAAACGAGAAAATTCCACATCACAGTCAGATTACAGTCCTGGTGATACAGAGAAGTTCCTTAAATTTGCAGGTATGTTTTTGACTTGGATATTGTGTAAAAAATTAGGATTTACATATTGGAAAAATCAGAAAAAAGGATGTTAGGAGATGTATTATTTATATATATTTTTTTACACTTTCTATTTAGCTACTTATTTTTATCATTTTTTTATTATTATAATCATCATCATCAATATTAATAATGCTATTATTATTATTACTATTATTAATACCATTTTTACTATATTACCACTATATTTTGTATTCTTTTTATATGCAAGTTTATTCAAAGTCTGAATGATTCCTTTTCCACTCATTTCAGAGACACATCGCACAGTCCTCAACCAAATTCTTAGACAGTCGACAGTTCATCTTGCAGACGGTCCATTTAGTGTCCTTGTGGACCACACACGCCTTTTAGATTTTGATATTAAGCGCAAGTACTTCAGAACCGAGCTAGAGCGCGCAGACGATGGCATGCGCCGAGAAGATCTAGCTGTGCATGTACGTAGGGAGCACGTCTTCGAAGATTCCTTTAGAGAGCTGCATAGACGGTCCCCTGATGAATGGAAGAACAGGTTTTACATTGTATTTGAAGGTAAGGCAAGATTCACTTTAATCTATCTTCCCTTTCGTCAGAAGAAATGAGAAATATGTGTAGTTATGTATAGACATGTGGTTGTAGATAAGTAAGATATGTAGTACATGCAAGGGATCTTAAATTTCTGTGATTTTTTGGGGAAAGAATCCAAAAGGACCGTCCTTTCACTCTTGTCTGTTTGCAGGAGAGGAAGGCCAGGATGCTGGTGGCTTACTGAGAGAATGGTACATGATCATCTCTCGGGAAATCTTCAACCCCATGTATGCCTTGTTCTGCACGTCCCCGGGAGACCGCGTGACCTACATGATCAACCCGGCTTCTCACTGCAACTCGAACCATCTCTCGTACTTTAAATTTGTCGGACGCGTTATTGGTGAGTAGATCATTTTCTTTCTTTTCTTTTCTTTTTTATCCCCCCCCCCCCCCTTACCTCTTTTGTAGTTATTTGTTGATATGTAGTCAGCCTGAGACACTTGTTGATGATGAATGAATGCTTATTACTGGGTAACCCCCAGTCTCCCCTCCAATTCAGGAATTTATTTGTGGCATTGCCTGTTTGGATGCCCTTCTGAAAAATAAATAAAATAAAATAAAAAGGTAAACATGAATGCTGGCTTACACCATTAGTAGGTTAGGGTTGGAATCCACCAACAACAGTGTTGATGAAATAATCCACATAAGTAACCAGTCTTGATTTTTATTTATTTATTTATTTATTTTTTTTTTTAATGCTGGCTTCCAACATTGGTAGGTTAGGGTTGGAATCCACCAACAGCAGTGTTTTTTTTTTTTTTTATAAAGAAAAATTACTTTTCTTCACTAAGAGTAATCTTGACTTTCTTATTTACTTTTTTTTTCTTCTTTTATAGCCAAGGCCATCTATGACAACAAGCTCCTAGAATGCTACTTCACACGGTCATTCTACAAGCACATCCTGGGCAAGATGGTCCGAGTGGGAGACATGGAGAGCGAGGACTATTCCTTCTACCAGGGTCTCATATACTTGCTGGAGCACAACGTGGCCGACTTGGGCTACGAGTTGACATTCAGCACTGAGGTAAGAGGAAGGGAAGAAAGATAGATAGAGATAACACAAAGGATTGAATATTTTCTGGGATATTAGACTATTATCTTTCATCTCTTAAGTTCTCAAATTTGAGTCAGACGTGTACAGAAGAGTAACATTTTGCATTGTCTTGGTCTTCAGGTACAAGAGTTTGGCGTGACAGAAGTAAGAGATCTCAAACCAAATGGAAGAAATATAGCTGTGACGGAAGAGACGAAGATGGAGTACATTCGCCTGGTCTGCCAGATGAAGATGACCGGAGCCATTAGGAAACAGTGAGTGCTTGGAAGGAAATTGTTGTTCTGGGTCTTCTATTTCTATTTTTATTTCTCTCTCTCTCTCTCTCTCTCTCTCTCTCTCTCTCTGTATAGATTAAATGTTTTTCCTAGAGGGCTTCTTTGACATCAGTTTACTTCTCTCTTTGAATGTTTACAGACAGAATGTTTGGAAAAATTGTAGCATAATTTGACATCCCCCTGAATTTTTCCAGACTGAATGCCTTCCTCGAGGGCTTCTACGACATCATTCCCAAGCGCCTCATATCTATCTTCAACGAGCAAGAGTTGGAGCTCCTCATATCCGGCCTGCCCACCATTGACATCGACGATCTCCGGGCGAACACAGAGTACCATAAATATCAACCCAACTCATTGCAGGTATGTGGTGGGTGTGTTGGTGGGTGGGGTGGGGGAGGGGGGAGGGGGGTTGTATGTGTGTGTGTGTGTGTGTGCGTGGTTGTATCTTTGTCTGTTCTGTATGTTGTGACTTTGCGAGTTTGTTTATATTGTTTTTGACTTTGTTTTTTTATTCTCCATGTTTGCAAATCATTTTATGTAATAGAGGTTTTATATGAAGACAAAATCTGATGTGTGTTATGCCTTGTTCAAATTGAAAGGTGATCTCAGTAAACAAGGGAATACTATTAAAAATTTTGACTTCGATAGCTTTGATAAAATACGACTCTTTGAATGCCCTCAGATTCAGTGGTTCTGGCGAGCACTACGCTCCTTCGACCAGGCAGAACGAGCCAAGTTCCTCCAGTTTGTGACGGGAACCAGCAAAGTTCCGCTGCAAGGCTTTGTGGCCCTAGAAGGCATGAATGGCACCCAGAAGTTCCAGATCCACCGGGACGACCGATCGACGGACAGGCTGCCTTCTGCTCACACTTGGTTTGTTACGCTTGCCTTCTGTTTTTACCGAGTTTCAATGTTGGTTTTATGGATTAAGCTTTTGCACTGGTTCCTTTTTGTTGTTTTTTTTGTAATGTGTAAGGAATTTTCTTGTATATAAGAAATTATTGGAAACTTGGCTCCCCGCCTCCTCACTCTTTTTTTATCTATCTATTCTCTTTCCTCTCACCTCTTTATCGTTTCCCTCAGAAAAATTAAAGCAAACTTTCCCTCCACAGTTTCAACCAGTTGGACCTGCCAGTGTACGAGACGTATGACAAGCTACGCCACTATCTCCTGAAGGCCATCCATGAATGTTCGGAGGGCTTTGGATTCGCATAAGCAGTCATAGCTCTTCCATTACCCCAACCAGTGACTTTTTAGTACACGTTGAAAAGTTTCCAGACTTATCTGCACAGTGGGAGCTCCAGGTTACTCACGAACACCCCTTGGAAAACAGGAACCTTATCAAGCACAAGTACAACCGTGGTACATATTGAGACACCTGATATCTTCACATGAGGTTCTGATATTTTGTGGTTGGATTGAAGCACGTGTGTTTAAATGTTGATCTTCTAGAGGATGTTATGACAGTGTTTATAAGTATTCTTCGAAGGGGAAGATGGACACTGCTCCAGAGGACCATGATTTTGGAGCTTCTCGAGATAAATTGTTAATGGAAAGGCACCGAAAGCTTGACATGTTTATAGCATAGTATAGTGTATATTATAATGAGATATACATATTGTAGTTGAAAATGTCCTTCTTTTTTTATTTCTTTTTTCTTTCAATTTTGTATTTTGTCTTGTTTGAGTGGATTTATCACTATGTATTATGTGCACAGATATTAATGAAAGAGATATTTTGAGCAGCTTCAGATATTTTGTAAGCAAACATTCAACCCTCTAGCAGTTGCTAAAAATGTGATAGATTACCAGGTTTTCACCCTTGATATGATGAACCCTTCCCCTCAACCCATCCATTCTTCCCCCAAAAGCGAGTCCTGTCCCCCAGTTGGTTTATTTCCTCACTGCCTGCCAAGCATATTCTATGAGTAAGCCATTCCCATTCTCTTCCCCTCCTTCCCCTTCCCTTCAGTTCAGTTCCCTTCCCTTCCCTTCCCTTCCCGTCCTAAGCCTGCATTCCCATGTAACATTTACCAACCCCTATAATTAATCACATAGCAGCCTGTGCCTAGCTTGCCCATCTGTAACCACTGTTCTGTTTAGTTACTTAGCCTCACCTGGGTCAACCCTCAAACCAGAGCAAGCACTGGAGATTTTGAGACCCGTGATTTGTTTTACTTTGGAAGGAATCCCCAGTTTAAAAAATAATAACAATGATAAATAGGAAGGGACCCAAAGACGTGGCCACGCAGTCTCAGGTTTGTGAAATTATGCAAGAGGCTGCAGTGCTGACGATCCCTCCTCGTTCTGTTCCAACTTGATACGTTTGACCTTGTTAAAGACATTTACCTTCCACTAGTATTATGATCACTGTGCTGTATATTCTGGCCTCACTACTGCTGTACATATAAGTAAAAGAAATACACTGGTATATCTAATGTGATAAATTTTACATTAAGGGCTGTCATAGATTGCTACAAAGACGTCGGTGATAAGCAGGAGGAGACGAGAGATGAACATGTTGTAAGCATGTGAAGTAAGTGTGTTTACTGGGTTTCCATGAGTTTTAAAAAAAATAATATACGGTGAAAGATTTTATATTGATTATTATTTTGGAAATTCCAAGCACTACCACTTCTCCACTATAATAGTAAACTGGATGATTATTAAGAGGAATGCATCTTTTCTTCAGAATGAATGACCTGCTAACAGTCAGCCACTGTGTCAATTCTGGCAAAACAAAAGCATTGTTATTTGATTGTTTGTGTACATTGTGAACTGAGTAATACAGTGAGAATCATGTTTTGTGAAAGCCAAGAGTTGGCATTTTCTGTTGTTAGTCAAGTGTTTCTTGCCAGGGCTTTGGAAGACGTGTAAAGTATGTCATACTAAGTAAATGTATACAGATAGATAGTGATCCTATATTTACTTTATTATGGGTTGATTTTTTTTTTTTTTTTTTCTTTTTCTTTTTCTTTTTTCTTTATCTGAAATTTAGTCATTGATTGAGTTTATTAAGTTATCAGTCAGCCCAGATGTTACATAAAGTGTATTTTATCACATGTGCAACAATCGTTCTTCTACTTTAACAAGTTGGCATTAAAATACACAGTATTAAATAA